ACGTATGTCTTCCCTTTCTCTTCCGTTCTGTATTGGAGGGGATTTCAACATGGTTCCAGGCACTTTAGCCAGTTCGAAGTTCGCCGAGAAGTTGGTTGGGCTGCCTGTGGTGGCTGAGGGCCACACTCACTTTGGTGAGGGCCCCCCGTCCTCCCTGGACCACTTTGTGTTTTCGGGGGGGCTTGGGAAAACTGTTAAGAGCTGTGAGGTCGTCCTGGACACTACCTTGAGCCCCCACAGACCGGTGCAAGTAGTGTTGCACGCTTCGTTTGGCAAGTTGAAAGGTCTTAGTTTCAGGAAGCCTCCTCCTCTCCCTGTCTCGGCGGTGGTGGGACCGCGTCCTGCTCCCTCCGACTGGAGTCTTGTGCGAGAGCTTGCTGACCAGGCCTCCCAATGTGTTGCTTTTGGTGATGCAAGGGGCGCATCGTCGCTTCTCTCGCCTTGCTACGCGGCCTGGGCTGACAAAGCCGAGGCTGAGCTTGTGCCAATTTTGGGACAGTCTGTCCCCTGTCTTGGTTCGAGATCCAAGGGCCCTCAGCTTGTGTGGAAGAAGCTGGTTGGTCGTGACCATGCTATTCGGGATCCTGAACATCATGCTGTGCGGTGGCTCAGCGTCCAATATCGGGCCCTAGCGTCGCTCCTGGATTCGAACCAAGGTGACACTCCTCAGGCGAAGTCGCTGACGACGCTGCTACAGGAGCCTCCGCAGCAGGTTGAAGTTTCTGCTGCCCTTCGGCCTCTCTTTGAAGAGGTTGCCCGTGCTGTCGCCGAGCCTTGTCGGGATCTCATTGTGGGCAGTTGTTTCGAAGCGGCTCTTCGGGACAAAATTGATATTGCGGTCATCAATGCTCAGTCTGCTGCCAAGAAGAGATCCCGTCAAAGCTGGCAAGCTTGGATTCGCGCTGGCCTTGACGAGGGAGCGAAAAGAGTTCACATGTTCACCGGGGACCCGTCACCTTGGAAGGCCACCACCACCCTTTCTGCTGATGGCACCCTTGTGTCTGATCCTTTGGCGCTCTTGGCTTCGGAAGGTTTCCAGTTTGCCGCCTTCTGGGGCAAGGGCGCGGGAGCCTCTAGAGGCCCCCCGTCGCTTGGGTCGTCTCTTCCGAGGGTTTCGGCCGACGAAATCAGGGAAGTCTCCAAGAAGTACAAGAGGGGTTCTGCGGTGGCCTACGATGGCTTTAGTTGTCGTCACTTCCAGTACTTGTGTGATGATGCGTTGAACTCGCTCGCCGTCTTGTTTGAAGTTATGGAAGCGCTCGGCGAATTGCCCGAGCAGATTTCTGCTGTGCTGCTCGCTCTTCTCTCGAAGCCCACCGGTGGCTACAGGCCTATAGGGGTGTTCTGCTCCTGGTACAGGGTGTGGGGGAAGCTGCGGCGCCCCTTCGCCCTCGCCTGGGAGCAAGAGCACCCCCGCAGGTACTGGGCTGCTGGTGGGCATCGAGGTGCTGCCGACGTTGTTTGGAGGCAGTCTGTTCGGGCTGAGCACGGCACTGCGTCGAATGAGGTTTCGCGTAGTGTGTTTTACGATATGCTTAAGTACTACGAGACCATCGATCTTGCCAAGTTGATGTCCCAATGTCAGCGACACGGTTTCCCCTCCCCGATTGCGCGCCTTTGCATCTTTGCCTTTCGGTGTGGCCGTTTCCTGTCCCTGGGTGGCATCCTTGCGGGCCCCTTTTTTGTCGAGCGAGGTGTGGTGGCGGGCTGCAGCTTCGCCACCACCCTCATCAGGGTCTTTGCCCTTGACGCGTTCGACTCCATTCCCCTGTCCCCCAGATGTGATTTGGACATTTACATCGACGATTCGGGGATTTCTGCGACGGGCCCTCGTCACCGAGTTATTGCCTCTATTGTTGCCAGCTCGCAGGCCTTGCACACGGCAGTGACCGACATGCTTGGCTGCAGTTTCGCCCTGTCCAAAGTGTGCACGGTCTCCTCCAATAGGGCGGTGGCCAGTGAGGTTGGCAAGCAGCTTGGCAGTCTGGCAGGTAGGATCGAGGATGTCACTGTCAACTGAGGTGTGGACTACACGGCGGGCAAGTCCATTCGAGCCTCAGGTCGGGCTAGTAAGCTCAAGTCGAGGCTGGCTACCTTGTGCCGTCGAGCCAAGAGGCTCAAGAGGCTTTCGGGTGATCTTGGGAGAAAAACTCTGCGGTTTTTTTCCTCGGGCCCTCTTGCGGGAGGCTCCTACGGGGCTGACATCGTGGGTGTCTCTGACAATGATCTTTTATTGATGCGGAGGCAAGCCTTCTCGACGGTGCGGCCGTTTTCTCAGGGCAGGAGTCTCACTGCTTGCTGCATTTTAGCTGGCGATCCCACCTGGAGGGCGGCCTGCGCTCCTGTGCTTAGGTGGGGAAAAGAAATATGGCTCGCTCAGACCAAGGTCTTCCCGCACTCCCTGGCCCTCAAGGAGCTTAGAGATTCTTGGAATGCTGTCTGGGGCCTTAGCAGGATCAGTTGGGGTCTCGTTGGGGGTCCTGTCTCTGCCCTCAGGCTTTGTCTGGTCAGGTTAGGGTGGCACATGGACAATTTCATGACCATTATTGATGACAGAGGGTACCACATACCCCTCGGTGTGACCTCCCCTGCCCTCTTGTGTATTTTTTGTCGGGAAGGTATGATCAGAGCTCTGGAGAGGGATCTGGGCGGCAAATGGGCGTCTGGAGGCCGCCTCTGCTTGGATGTCCCCCGCGCTGCTCTGGCGTCTAGCAAGTTTTCTCCCAGCGAAAAAGGTATGATTCGTGCTCTGGCGTGTAACGCCATCTGGACTCCTGATCGTGCCATTGCCTGTGGATACAAAGTTTGTTCTAAGTGCATCCATTGTGGTGAGGCTGACTCGTTGCACCATCGGCTGTGGGCCTGCCCGCATGTGAGCGATCTGAGAGCGGAGCTTGCTAAGGACTGGATCGTTGCTGCCGCCCGTGACACTGAGGCTGAGGACTACTCGGACCTCCTTTTCTGCTTCGGGGCTTTCGCCCATCCCGCCGATACCCTTCCGAGGCCGTGCCTCGAAGGCAATGTGGTGTTCCGCTGGCATCGTGATCTGCTCGAGGGCCCCGAAGGCTTCGAGGCTCCCCAGGAAGGTGCTGTCTGGGGGTCGCTGTTTCTCGACGGGTCTTGCAGGCGGCACATAATTCGGGAACTCAGCCGTGCGTCGTGGGCTATCACGATGCACAATGACAGCGGGGATCTTTTAGGGGAGGTTATGGGGCCTGTGTGGGCCCAATACCCTCAGACCCCGCAGGCTGGCGAATACTTAGCGCGTGGCATGGCTGGCAATATGGCCAAGTACCCTTCCACCCTGTTCTCTGACTGTTTGAATGTGGTCAAGCATTCTAAGTTGCCTCCTGGCGAGCGCCTCTCGGGTAAGAGGGTGTACAGTGGCATAATCATGGAAGCCAATGCTCGAGAAGGCATGTGCATTCAGGATATTGTTAAGGTTTCCGCTCACAAGGATTTAGATGAAGCTGGCATCGACCAGTTCGAAAGGTTTTGTCGCAAATGCAATAATGATGCGGACGCGGCGGCCAAAGCCGCGCTGTCGTTTCATGCGTCAGATATTAATGAGAGTGAAGATCTCAGCAAGAAGATCGACATTGCTAAAGCAGTGTGTCGACTAGGGGCCAAGCTTCTCTTAGAGTGGCCCCGATTGGATTTATCTGATGCCGATTATATTCCGCCAGCCCCCAAGCCCAGGTTTTCCTGGGACAAGCCTGGGCACGACTGGGCCCCTTGGTCCGGTGTGTGGCGCTGTAGAGTTTGTTTGTTGGGTTCCAGGGGATCTGGCGTCCCTGATCCTGGCATATGCTCTGGCAGGTGCAAGCTTGATGAAGGTGTGCTGGTGTCACTGCGGCATCGTGTTTTGGCCTTCTCCTGCAGTGACGGTTCACATCTTTTTGTTTGCGTGAAATGCCGCTACCACAGCACAGGTGCTCGTGTGGACGGCCTAGGGAAGGTGTGTAAGGATCGGCCCTCCAGGAACGCCGAGTATTCTTGGAGGCACCTCTGCCGAGGAGTGCACCCGAACCCCAGGAAGCGAGCTGTGACGGTGAATACTCACCAGATCTGTGCACTGTTTGGTTCCCAGGCCGAGGAGGCTCCCTCGTGCCGCAGGGCCGAGGAGGCCCCAGCTGGGAACCACATGGCGGAGGAGGAGGTGGCCCCCCTTCCTCGGTCGAGCCTCCCCCCCCCTCGGAGGAGGAGGTCCGTCAGGCCTGTCAGGCCCGAGAGCGCAGCGTCTCCTCTCAGTCCCTCCGCCGTCTCCAAGCCGCTCGGAGTGGCGGTGAGGTAAGGAGGGACTTGGATGCTGACTCGGGTTCTTCTGACTAATTTTATCCTGCCACCCTTGTGGCTCACCTCCTTGCCTCAGTGGCACGGAGGACGCAGCAGCGATTTCCCAGCCGTCGCTGCTGACAGGAGAGGCTGTGCGGGCGTTGAGCTCAAAAAAGCTCCTCCGCGGCGCCCCAGCGTTGAGGCTGCCCCAGACTGCCGGGTGGGGGTTGGGGCCAGCTGGGACTACCTTTAAGTCGGGCCTGTCCCTCTACAGGTGGAATGCCCCCAAATAGTCAAGAAATAGTATGGGGGCGATTTTTAGAGTTTTTGTTTGATCATTTTTGGGCATTTTTTGATCATCTGTTTCGTCCCAAATCCCCCTGTAGGGGGACGGGCCCGACTTACGACTACCTGGCGGGGTGGGGGGGATGGCTGCCCGTGCGCAGCCCGAAGCCCTGCCGAGTAGCACGCCGACGGGCTCCAGACGGCGGCGTGCGCCCCCGATGCTGCTCGTTCAGTACCGTGCAACCGATCCCCCATCCCCAGCCCCCATCCCCTCCGAGACCCCCACTAAATTGCCGCCCCAGCTGGGGATGCACCCCTCGAAGCCCGAGGGGCACGGCCCACGTCCCCATCCGGGGGGGGCAGCTCGGCCAGCGGGGCCCTTGGCCACGCCGCTGGAGGTGGGGATCGGTGGAGAGATTCTCGGCCTTTCCCCTCCCGAGGAGCTCGCGCTGGACCTGAACCTGTTCCTGCCGAAGTGGCTCTCGGTTCTCCCGGGAGGGGCCGCAAGACACCGGCGACGCTGCTCCCTGGGGCTCATCTGTGGCGCCTTCTGACCAGGATCTCGAGGAAGGTCTGGCCGTGGCAGCGAGGGCTCTCCAGGACGAGGAGCGGCATTGGCGTTGGTACTCCCTGACATCCGCCGATATGCTTTTCCCAACCATCCTGTGGTGTTGGGTCCTCCTTTTGAAGAGACAGCGCCCCGCGTCACTCACCTCACCTCCCGCTGCCCCCTCCTCCTCCCTCCTCACCTCCCTTGCCTCTACTCTCCGCATGTCCACCATCTCGGCACACCCCTCATGAGGTTCGTGGCCACACAGGGAGCTCCACCGAAGGCCCCAGTGGCACAGGCCGCATGCGCCCGACGCCCAGTTTGACATACCCCTCACACGGTTCGTGGCCCCACAGGGAGCTCTACCGAAGGCCCCAGTGGCACAGGTCGCATGCGCCCGACGCCCCCATTTTGGCACGCCCCTCACACGGTTCACTAAAGGGAGCTCTACCGAAGGCCCCAGTGGCACAGGCCGCATGCGCCCGACGCCCCCATGTTGGCACGCCCCTCGCACGGTTCGTGGCCCCATAGGGAGCTCCACCGAAGGCTCCAGTGGCACAGGCCGCATGTGCCCGACGCCCATTTTGGTACACACCTCACACGGTTCGTGGCCCCACAGGGAGCTCCATCGAAAGCGGTACTCACAACTGCGCAT